TTTCTTCTTCTTCTTCCTCTTCTTAAGAATACCTTTCAGCATTTTATATAATACTGGTTTGGTGGTGATGAACTCCTTTAGCTTTTTCTTATCCGTGAAGCTCTTTATCTGACCTTCACTTCTGAATGATAGCTTTGCTGGATAAAGTAATCTTGGTTGTAGGTTCTTGCTATTCATCACTTTGAAAATTTCTTGCCATTCCCTTCTGGCCTGCATAGTTTCTGTTGAGAAATCAGCTGACAGTCGTATGGATACTCCCTTGTAGGTAACTGTTTTTCTCTTGCTGCTTTTAAGATTCTCTCTTTGTCTTTAGCCCTTGGCATTTTAATTATGATGTGTCTTGGTGTGGTCCTCTTTGGATTCCTTTTGTTTGGGGTTCTCTGCGCTTCCTGGACTTGTAAGTCTATTTCTTTCACCAGGTAGGGGAAGTTTTCTGTCATTATTTCTTCAAATAGGTTTTCAATATCTTGCTCTCTCTCTTCTTCTGGCACCCCTATAATTTGGATGTTGGTACGCTTGAAGTTATCCCAGAGGCTCCTTACACTATCTTCATATTTTTGGATTCTTTTTTCCTTTTGCTTTTCCAGTTGGGTGTTTTTTGCTTCTTCGTATTTCAAATCTTTGACTTGATTCTTGGGATCCTCTAGTCTGCTGTTGGATCTCTGTATAATATTCTTTATTTCAGTCAGTGTATGCTTAATTTCTAATTGGTCCTTTTTCATATCCTTGAGGGTCTCACTATATTTCTCGGAGGTTTCTAGAAGATTCTTGAGTAACCTTATAACCATGGTTTTGAACTCTATATCCAGTAGTTTGCTTTCCTCCATTTCTTTCATTTGTGACCTGTTTCTTTGTCTCCACATTTTGGCTGCTTCTCTGTGTTGATAGAGTGGCTTTGTGTGCTAGGTGTCCTATAGGGCCCAGTGGCTCAGCCTCCCTAATTACCTGAGGTAGACACTCTTGGTGCACCCCTTTGTGGGCTGTGTGCACAGTCTTGTTGTAGTTAAGCCTTGATTGCTGTTGGTATCACTGGGAGGAATTGACCTCCAGGCCAATTGGCTGTGAGGACCAGTTGTGTCTACAATGGGAGAACTTCTGTGCTGGAGACACCCTTATGGGGCAGGACTTGCTTCATTGGGGCTTTGGCGCTCACTGAGTCTGCCCAGGTTTTTAGGCAGAGAAAGTCCAGGCCATCCATATGCAAAAGCCTCTGCACACAGTTTGGGTGAGGTTGTAAATTGAGTGGGGCGGGGTCTCAGGGAATCACCAGGGCAGAGCAAACCACAATGGCTGCCAGTCTGCTCTGCCTCAGTGAGGTCCCGGGGTCTGTGTCCCGCGGCCCCGTGCAGGAACAATGACCGCTGCAAGCACCTCTGCGAGAAAGCCGCCTTCACGTTCTGGCTCAATGCCAGACAGTCCAGTTTCTCTCCGTATGAGTCTGGGTCCCCAAATTCTCACCTGGAACTGGAGTTCAGAGCAGTCAGGAGCTTGTATCTCCCTCCTGGTTGAAAAAGACAACAGCATAACCAGCTGCCAGCCCCTTTCGCGCGCGCCTCCGTACCTCCACACTTCCACACCTCTGCACCTCCTACTGGACTCAATGCGCTTTTCTCTTTCCTTCTAGTTGTAGAATTTCCACTCAGCCAGCCTTCCCATGGTTCTGGATGGTATTCGTTTTGTCTTTTAGTTGTAGTTTTCATGTGGTTGTGCGCGGCAGCAAGTTCAGGTGTTTACCTTTGCCGCCATCTTGGTTGTTCTCTGTGGCGAGTTCTTCACATGCCTATGAACCCTCTTTGAACCCTCACAGTTCCTGTGAAGAAGGTTCCTCCTTTATAGATTAAGACCTGGAGATCCACAGATGTTGTACAGCTCTCCAGGGACACAGAGCTAGTACCTGGGGGAGCTGAGACTTGAACCCAGGTCTTTCTAACTCCAGACCCTGAGTTTGTAAGATAGGTGCCTTCATAATGAAATGGCGGGACCTTACTGCCTTGGTTTGTTGTTTCTCGAGAGTCAAACTGAGCCCTAACCAGTTTGGCTCAGTGGATAGAGCAGTGATGGCGAACCTTTTGAGCTCGGCATGTCAGCATTTTGAAAAATCCTAACTTAACTCTGGTGCCGTGTCACGTATAGAAATTTTTTGATATTTGCAACCATAGTAAAACAAAGACTTATATTTTTTATATTTATTTTATACATTTAAATGCCATTTAACAAAGAAAAATCAACAAAAAAAATGAGTTTGCCTGTCACCTCTGACACGCGTGTCATAGGTTCGCCATCACTGGGATAGAGCGTCGGCCTGTGGACTGAAAAGTCCCAGGTTTGATTCCAGTCAAGGGCATGTACCTTGGTTGCGGGCACATCCCCAGTAGGGGGTGTGCAGGAGGCAGCTGATCGATGTTTCTCTCTCATCCGATGTTTCTAACTCTCGATCCCTCTCCCTTCCTCTCTGTAAAAAATAAATAAAATATATTTTAAAAAAAGAATCAAACTGAGAAGGCTGGCGGGAAAGAGCTCCAGGCCCCACTGGGGGTGGAAAATTGGCCTGGAGCATTTCCCAGACTTGGCCTGGGACCCTAAATGCAAAAAGAGGTCACTATCCTGGTGTTTACCAGGTTAGTTCTGGATATAAATTCTCAATCTTCCCGACGCCTCCCTGTGCCTTCTAGGGCACACACAGTGTCTCACCCTGGCTCTCACTCATGGCATTTATAGACTTAACCATGATGCCAGCCTTCATGTCGAGCGCTTTCCTCCTTCAATGCTCACAATAACTCTGCAAGGAGGCAATTTTATACCCTTTTTAAAGATGGTGGAAGGGAGTTTCAAGGAAGTGAAGCCACAATGTTACGGGGAGGTACGTAGCAGAGCTGGAACTTGAATTCTGGTGCAGGTGGTTCCAGAGCACCTGCTATGCAGCCTCCATCTCCGCCCCGCCTCCTCGGTTGTAGCTTTTCCACATCAAGCTCACGAACCTTCTCTGGTGTCTGCCTGTCTGTCCTCCTAGTTCGGATGGAGACCGTAAGTTCCTCTGGCTCCCGGCTCTCCAGCTGCTTCATCACCCTCATCTTCCTCCAGCTGCCCATACGCGTGTCAGGTAGGAGTTCCTGACCTCCTTCCTGCCTGGGACATCTGACCACGGCCTTCTTCCTTGAGGGGTTCTGTTGTAACCCCAGCCCTTTCCAATGCCCTCCCCAGACTCGCTAGGAGCCTTCCCCACGTGATCTCCGTCTTCATCCTTTGCTGAACTCTCGCATCCCTCCCAGACTGCGCTGTCCCTTTCTTGTTTTCACTGCACAGGGGACTCCGGCCAGGTCCACCTGGCCCCGCTAGGGGGCACAGCCAAGCTGCTCTGCCCGCTCTCGCTCTGGTCGGTCACGACGCTCACCGAGGTGCGGTGGCTGCGGTCCTTGCCCCGGGGGCGCTCCCAGGTGGTCCACGTGTTCCGGGATGACAAAGTCCGCGAGGAAGATGTGGTACCGGAATTTAAGGGGAGGACGGCGCTGGAGAGAGACACGCAAGAGGGAAATGTCACGCTGGAGATCCGCCACGTGCGGCTGGAGGACCGAGGGCCGTACCGATGTCAGGTCCGGATTGCAAACCTGAGTCGAGAGGGCACCGTGATCCTGCAGGTGGCAGGTTCGTCATTTTTCAGGGGGGGTGGAGGGGTGGGGGAGGTGAATAATGGATGCCGTGGCTGGTAAAGGTGGATGGGGTAAGGTACTAGCATGCAGCCAGATACTCTCATCCCTTTGCGGTGAACCGCGTGCGGGTGGGGAGAGAGCAGGCGTTCACAGCAATTAACAGCCCGCCCCCTGCTCACCCGGAGCTGAGCCGCCTTGGGAGCCAGAAGAGCGCCCTGGCGGGGACCGGGATCTTGCCAAGGCCCTGCCAGCGGCTTTCCTTTCCAGTTCTAGGCTCCGACCCTTACATCCACGTGAAGGGCTACGACGCTGGATGGATCCAGCTGGTGTGCAGGTCGGTGGGATGGTTCCCAAGGCCTTGGGCCGAGTGGAGAGACCCTCAAGGCAGGGTGCTTCCATCTGAGCCCCAGGCCCCTTCCCTGGACCACGCTGGGCTCTTCGAAACAGCCGTATCCAGCAAAGTCAGGGACAGCACTGTGGGCAGCGTGTCCTGCACCATCCGCAACGAGGCCCTGGGCCAAGAGAAGACCGCAGCCATGGTCATAGCAGGTAAAAGCCGGGGCAGAAAACAGGCTCGAAGCTCCGGGTGGCTCCAGAGAAAACTCTTACCCAAGTGGAAACTTTATAAAGAATTTTTTAAATACTAAGAATAGCATGTTTATTGTAGAAAACTTAAAAAAATAGGATATTTTTAAAAAGAAAAAGAAGCCTGGTTTTATAAATAGGAGAGAGCCACTGCTAACATTTTGGGGCATTTCTTTAGAATTTCTTTCATGGGTGCATCTCTGAGTGTGTATTGATACACATGTGTATTCTTCTGCCTAGGTTGTTTCCCCCTCCACTTACAAGGCTGTGAACATTTTTGCCCATGTCCTTAAGCAGTTCTCTGCAACAGATTTTAAAGGGCCGCACAGTATTTCGTTGTGTGGGTATAGCATAGTAAAATTAATCGAAGCCCTATTTCTTGATATCTGAATGGTTTAGACTTTTCCTGTAACAGTGCAGTGAACAAGTTTGCACATAATTTGGAGACTGATTCTGCTTATTTTCTTAGAATGTGCTCCTAGAAGTAGTATTAATGCACCAAAGGGTTATGAACCTTTTAAAGACCCTTGAGCCGTAACCGGTTTGGCTCAGTGTATAGAGCATCGGCCTGCGGACTGAAAGGTCCCAGGTTCGATTCCGGTCAAGGGCATGTACCTTGGTTGCGGGCACATCCCCAGTAGGAGGTGTGCAGGAGGCGGCTGATCGATGTTTCTAACTCTCTATCTCTCTCCCTTCCTCTCTGTAAAAAATCAATAAAATATATATTAAAAAAAAAATAAAGACCCTTGAAACATGGAGCCGTGTGGCAGAGAAGTGTGGTTTTAGAGCCAAGAAAGAAAGAGTGTGGCCTGGGGCCCCAGGTGCGGAAGGAGCACTGACGTCTGCTAAGCCCTTCTTTTTTCTCTCTCTCTCACCTCTCCTCTCTTCCTACAGCCACTGCCTCTCATCGGTGCTAAGCACTTTACATCCTCCTCTCTTTAAATCTGTCACAACCCAGGGGACTGGGGATTATTGTAACCCTCATTTTACAGATGATGGGCCAGGCTTGGAGAGGCTCCGTCTCCTGCCTAGGGTCCCACGGAGGATGAGCGAGGACTCACACCCAGTTTAGACTCTGCCACTTGTCATAGTGCTTCCTCTGCTTTATTCTTGTGTCTATTTCTTCTTTCCTTTCTCCTGCCTAGGCGTTAGGCCTGCCGCGGTAGCCCCACAGAAGTAGCTTTGCCCCCGCTGATACAGCTCAGGGCAAAGTGGTCACGGATGGCTGTTCCACAGCAGAGTGAGGACTTGAAGCAGAAGGCAGGTGGTGCTCAGAGAAAACTGCAGGTGATCAGAGGAAGCACCTCCAGTTCTTCAAAGATCACTTTCCCACGGAATGATAGGGCAGGATGAGGTTGTGATTGGGAAGCTGAGTTTAACACATTGTTTTCAGGCAGGACCATCAAAACCACTCCTAAGAGATGACCATCTCGCTTTAGAGTCATCCCTGAGTCATCCAGGGTTTGAGGCACTTAGAGAGGCAAACACCCTCACCTATCTTGGCTGGAGGTCTCTCCCTAGAGGTGACAGACACCGTGGGGCTGTGCCTGAGGCATCTCCCGTATGAGGTGGGGTCTTTGGCCTGGAAGAAGCGCTGAGATATCTCCTGAGGGTGGTCATTGGTGGTTCTGTTTCAGCCCCGTCTCCAGGGAGGATCTCCCCCGCAGCAGTGGCTCTTGCTGTGGTCCTGCCTGTCCTGGGGCTTCTCATCATGGCGGGCATTGGCCTCATCTGGAAGCAAAGACGATCAAAAGGTAACTCAGTGGTAAAGGAGCCCGGGGCGGCAGGAAGTGGGACTGTGGCTTCTCTAGGAAAAGGCTGGGGGGAAGGAGACATAGATGTGACGGTTATCCATAGGTTGGAGACTGCAAATTGTCTGGTAGAACAATGCTCTGGGGACCCCCAATGCAGAGAAGATCAAAGAAACTGCGTCAAGTTCCTGGGAAGAGTTGTGAATTCTCAACTTCTGAGAAATTAAAAATAACTGATCATGCCATTCCTCTAATTAATTTAAAAAATCCAATTCTATCCATTGAATAAAACCCTCATCAATATAATTGCATCTCACAGGATCTCAAGGTTGAATGGCACCTTGAAAGACACCTAATCCAACACCCCTTTCCCTAGACCCTCTAATCCTTTCAAATGGTCATAGACCTGCAGGGACAAGGAGCAAGGTCCTCCTCAGGCAGCTTGTTGTCCCCGGACAACTCTGCCTGTTAGAAAAAGCTCTTCCCTAAGCTGAGCTGATGTCTCTCTCTCCCCTTCCAGAGAAGCTTCTCTATGAACAGGTGATGGAGGTAGGTAAGTGTCCTGGGATGGGTGGGGATGTTTCTCAGTTTTACTCATTTTTATGACTCCAGTGTCCACTAATCTAAATTCTATACCAGAAAATCCCAACATCTGTTGTCCTTGGTGGCAGTGTTTGCTGACTCTGACTTGTAATAGCTTGTCTTTCAATATGTTTGTTGAATTTTGTTTGTGGACTCATTGCTTGATCTTATTCTGTGCGAGTCGTGTAGGTCTAACATGGGGGAAGCTCTTATTCATTCAACAAATAATTGATAATTGTCTACTAAGTGCCCTGGACTATACTAAATGCTGGGAATACAGTGGTCAAAGCAGGCAGTCTTTGCCATCTGGGAGCTTTCAGTCCGGCCAGGGAGGGCTACATGAATTAAATAACTGCACAAATCAATGTAAAAGTACAACCATACAAATGCCACGAGTGGAAATTCTGGAGGCTGCGAAGATTATGACCAGGAGGAACCAACCAAGCTTCAGGGACAGGAGAAGAGTCCCCAGAGGAAGTGATATTTGATCTGGAGGAGGGGGAGGCATGGGGGGAGAGGGAATAGAAAACGATCCACAGAGAAAGACCAGCTAGAGAAAGAAACACAGTGCAGAAGTGAGGGGGATGCTGATAGGGGACCAGGCTGCAGAGTTAGGCAGGGCCAGGCCGTGTGAGGCCTTGGAGGTCATGTGGAGAACTTTAGTCTTTCTCTCCAGTTCAGTGGCAAAGCAGTGAGTGGGATATCTTGATCAGAATTGTGCTTTGAGCAGCTTTCTCTGACTGCAGTATTGGGAAGAGGCCAGAAGGAGCAAGACAGGACTGGGGGCAATTTGGGCTACTAGTTCTGTCATCCAGATGAGAGATGACGAGGGCCTGGATTAGGGAGGTGGCATGGTGATAGAGGTAAACAGGTTTAAAAGCAGGTAAAATCAGTAAGAACCAGGGACCTTCAAGGTAATGGCACAGAATCTCATTTTTTGTTTTTTATTATTACTTTTCTCCCTCTAGAAACTCTTCTCTCAGACCATGCAAATGAAAAAGGTAATTATATGAAGGGGTAGGGAACAAATAACATATTCCTTCTCCTTCTACATAAATGCTGACAGTCTATTATTATACATACACTAGGGGTTTGGTGCACAAATTCGTGCACGGGTAGGGTCCGGCTGGCCTGCCCTGATCAGGGCCCATTGGGCCAGGCTGGCCAGGGGGAGGGGCCGCAGGAGGTTGGCAGGCCGGCCCTGCCCCCAATTGGGGTGTGTGGGGGGGGGTGATCAGGGGTGGGGCTGGCCCAGGGGAGGGGCCACAGGTGTTTGGTCAGCCGGCCCCACCCCCTGGTGAAACTCCCAGTTGAGGGGACAATTTGCATATTAGCCTTTTATTATATAGGATTATTCAGGTATACACACACATATTCTTCATTAATATTATTAGAATTTACTTTCCAGTATGAGGGGGCTATGGGGTAGGTGGCAGTGGGTGAGGGGACGCTCATGGTAAAAAGTCATAGGTCTGAATTATCATGAGCTCCTTTTATCAGCCTTTTCACCAGTCACCTAAAAAGTCTATATTCAATTTAAAGTCTATGAATATGCTATCTGGGATGTATGAGAATCTCAAGGATCCATACAACATTTGCATTCAGACAGGTGGTGTGATACAGTGGGAGCCCCACAGGCTCTGGAGTCAGCGACACCTGGTCAGGTCACTGGTCTGCCTTGGATGTGTCGCTTCACTGCTGTGACCTTTGGTTTCCTCATCTGTAAAATGGGATTAAAAATCCCCTTGCCCGATTGTTTTCAGGGTTTAAAGAGACAACTTGAAAAAAACTCTTCTATTACAGTGCCTGGTACTCCTCTTCCTTATTGCCATTTCATCTTCATTAACTGAATGTTTGTTCTGGGCCATTGAGGGTAAAAGTTCGACACCCAAGGTACAAAAAACAGGCAGTCTCTGCCCCTTAAAATCTAGCTGAGAATACAAGTCACTGGCTCACAAATGGTACATATTCAATGATTTGGGCCTCTCCTCTCCTCTGCCCTTACCTGTCCTCCCAGCGGGTGAAAGTGTGGGGGTGCACGCAGCAGGGGCCCTCTGGCTGCTCTCTCCAGGAGCAGAAGGCACAGCGTGGTGCAGTGGCCAAGGCCTCTGACTAGGAGTCAGACTCGCTGGGGCTTGAAGCCTTTCTCCTTGGCCACTTGCTAACTGGATGACTTGGGCAAATTTCCATGTCCCTCTGAGCTTCAGACCTGGGAACAATAATTCTATGCACCTTACATTGTCAAGGGGGTTCAGTGCCTACATCATTATGAGAACAGGACACAATAAATGGAGGCTAATAATAGTGGAAATATAATATGTCAATATTATATATAAATAATATAATGTATACAGAATATAATCAATCATTAATAGAGTGAACATTATATAATTATAACATTAATCAGATTAATAACATTGATATAAACACAAACCAAGAGCTCCTGAGGGGCCATATCATATCCAGCTTCATTGCTCCAGTGCCTAATGCCTAACACATGCCCAGCCCTTAGCACAGGGCTTGGCAGTGGACTCAAAGTTATAACTTCAATTCCCTGGCAGGGCCAATGCTCCCGGCAGCATGTGAAGCATATACATCCATCCCAAACCATCTGGAATCTCCAGATCTGAGCATCTCTCCGTAGGACTTCAGGAGAATTACTGTAGAGAGTGACAAAGCCATGTCCACAAGTCAGTGCTAGGCCTTCACTGCAGATGTTATAAACAGTAGGTTATAAAAGGGCAGCAAGGCACACACTCATGTACACATGGTTACAAACATATGGAAACACTCGTACAGACAGCGGAAATGAAACCAGATAAAAAGGAAGGGAAAGGAGGGAGGAGCCAGACCTGGGCAGCCTGGTCTTGGGAAAGTGGCACCAGCTGCACTGGCTTCCCCAGGCTGCCTTTGGGAGGCGACCGCACTAGCAGCTGAGAGGCATGTCATCCTTTCCACGGTGTGGGGGTGGGGGTGGGGGAGGTGATGAACCTCCCTGGGCTCAGGGATAAAGCAGAGCATCTGCTCACTCAGGCCTTTTTCTCTGTTTTTCAGGAAGGCTCCATAAATCCCTCAGTAAGTTCTGCTCCTCCTCCGTGGCACGGACCTCCTTCTGCCAACATCTTTGCTTTAGGATGGGTGTCTCAGTTTCATTTCCTGGGGCAGAAGAGAGGGGTCAGGGTGCTTTAAACCATGGGGTTGGAGATTTCTTGGCTCTCAAGGGCCTCTCTTCTCAAATATTCCCTGCTCCCCTTTCCTGCACAACAGTTACCTAGTCCAGTGGTCGCCAACCTTTCGGACCTTACAGACCAGCGCTAGGTCCTAGTCTCTAAGTGGGAAACGTTAATCAGGAAGAGATGTAGCTCCCGTAGGTGAAGCCACCTGGAAGACCTTTTATCACCAGGCATGGCATTCCCTTAGGTGGGATCCCAGGCGATGGGTCCTCATTAAACTGAACATGTGGAGCAGCGTTTCTCCATCTCATGTACGAGACCCTCTTTAGTGCAAAAAAAGAATTTTCAGACACGACATGTCTACTTTATTTTACCTTGATTAAATGTACACAAGAAAATCTAATAGAAATTCAGTGATAGTTTTTGTTTGTTTGTTAATCTTCACCCAAGGATATTTTTCCATTGCTTTTCAGAGAGAATGGGAGGGAGGAAGGGAGGAGGGAGAGAGAGAGAAACATCGATGTGAGAGAGACATATTAACTGGTTGCCTTCCAGGTGCCCCCACAGGATGGGGTGGGGGCAAACCACAACCCAGGTACGTGCCCTTGACCATGATTGAATCTGCAACCCTTCCGTGCAGGAGCCAACACTCTAATCATTGAGCAACACCAACCAGAGCTCAATGATAGTTTTAAATGAACTTATATTCTGTTCTTCTCTCACAATATCTACATATATTACATTGTAGTTACCTAGATGCATGAGATGTGCTACTCAATGAGTTGTAGTCAGGTTTGGCTTACTTGGGAATTTGCTGGCCCTCTGCAGTATCTCTGGGGACCACTGGGGTGGGGCTGGATGGTCTGGGTATTGCTAGTGAGGATCTGATGTGGGAATGTGGTTGGGAGGGGACCCAAGCATTATGGAAATGTGGAAGCCCTCCTTCTGATTGGTCACACTGTTTTTATTCTTTAGAGAAACTCCGGAGTGAACTGAGTAAGTTTCCCATGTCCTTCCATACCGAATTCTCTCCTGCTGATTCTATATTTTCAGTGATAGTTCACCCCTCTTGTTTCTTTTTTGTAGAGTTGAAAAGAGCTGCAGCCAACTCAGGTGAGATGCACTTTCTGGGTGCCTGACTCCGCCCTCTGGGGGTTCTCCTTGTCTCCTTCCGTTTACAATCCCTTTTATGTCTTTCAGGCTGGAGAAGGGCCCGGCTGCACTTCGGTAAGTTACACCAGGCAAACCCGCCTACATTTCAGAGCCCAGTGCCTGTTCCTTTGGAATGCAGGCTGACTTTTTTGTTTGTTTGTTTGTTTGTTTTTTGTTAATCAAACCTATTTATCTGCTTATCAAATTTTAAAAAATCTTTGTGATTTTTTTTTGCGGGGGAGGCTCAGTTAGACTTAGAAAGTTTATTGGTTATTTGTATGTCTTCTCGATGACTTGTCTGCTCTTATGCCTATTCTGGCTACTATTTGATTTGTGAGGATTCTTCCTATATAAAGTGTAGAAACTCTGTCCTATTCCTCACAAATTATTTTTCTGAGTTTTTCATTTGCATTTTAATTTCCTTATATTATTTGTTTGATGCATGAGTGTCTTGTTTTTATGTAGTCCAATTGAAGAATCTTTTCCTGTGTAGTTTCCCCTGTGCTTTCAGGTTTTGGAAGTCCTTCTTATCCCACAGTTGGGTAAATAGCCAGTGCTCCTCTGTCTGTATACACACCTGCCACGTTCCTCTTGCTCTTGGGGGTTGGTGATTGAGATTCTCAGAGAAGAAGGGAAATGGTTGGGCAGGTGCCCCCCCATTGTAGACTACAAAAGGTTTTGTAGTTTTATTCTAAAAGATTTGCACATCTCTTTTAATTTATTCCTAAATATTTGCTTTTTTTTTTTCCTGCTGTTTCAATGAGATCTGTTAATTTCCATGCTTGGGTCCTTATCAATGGTGGGTCTCCCTCCTTCCCCCAGTACAGAGAACAGAGAATCCTTCTCTCTCTATTAACATTTAAAAATAATAATTTTGAGCAACAATTTCAGTTAACAAGATGAGCATCACACATTGTGTATGAAGGAGGCACTACCTCATGTGTTAGCTCATCAAATGTGCACAACAGCTTGACCACATCGGGTCTGCCATTGTTCCCATTGTACGGATGAAGAGACTAAGGTTTGGAGATGAAATGCACGCCCCAGGTCACATAACTGGCCTGTGGCAGAGCTAGGACTCCCACGTCCAGTGTGGCTTCTGGGTCTAACATCAGAGCCAAGGTTTATTATCATACATTAACTTCCCCTGGACCACTGAAGACAAAGGCCGTATTTCCTAAGGGATTAAGGCAGCTTCACAAAGGAAAACTTTCTCCTGTTTTATTGAACACACTAGAGGCCCGATGCACGAAAATTCGTGCAAGAGTAAGCCTTCCGCCCCCCACCCCCATCCCGCTGCCGCACCAGCTTCCCTCCGGCAACCAGAACCTGGGCTGCTTCGCTCAGGCTGCCACTGCCACCCACCCAGTTCCCTGTGGTTCCCTATTCATCATGCTGTAGTCGGAGCCTGCAGGCCAAGGAGGAGGGACTGAGAGGTGGGCAATGCACCTCATAGTGACTGGTCAAGTGGTTGTTCCGGTCGTTATGGTCGCTGGCCTTTTATTATATAGGATGACCAGGAGACCAGAAGACACTTTTCTTTGGCTCCAGTACATCTGGGGTCGAAGGAATCATACACTAAAATGGGTCCAGTGACAGGGATTGCCAACCCAGAGGTGATTTTTCCCTCCAAAGCTACCCAAACCTCTCCTCTCTGTGCCCCTCTGCAGTGGCCGTGACCCTGGACCCCGACACCGCGCATCCCAAACTCATCCTGTCCGAGGACCGCCGGCGTGTGCAGCTCGGAGACAGGAGGCAGCCTGTGCCTGACACCCCCCAGAGGTTCGATTTCGTCGTCAGCGTCCTGGGCTCCGAGGCCTTCGTGGAGGGCTGTCACTACTGGGAGGTGTTCGTGGGAGACAAGACCAAATGGATCCTGGGGGTGTGCAGCGAGTCCGTGAGCAGGAAGGGCAAGGTCACCGCCTCGCCCGCCAACGGGCACTGGCTGGTGCGGCAGAGCCGCGCGGCCGAGTACGAAGCTCTCACGTCCCCGCAGACCCCCTTCCGCCTGAAGGAGGCCCCGCGCTGCGTGGGCATCTTCCTGGACTACGAAGCAGGCGTCATCTCCTTCTACAACGCGACCGACAGGTCCCACATCTTTACCTTCACACACGCGTTCTCTGGCCCGCTGCGCCCGTTCTTTGAACCGTGCCTTCACGATGGAGGGAAAAACACGGCTCCGCTAGTCATTTGCTCGGAACTCCAGAAATCGGAGGAACCCGTGGTCCCCAAGCCAGATGGAAAAGGCCACGCGAACGGGGATGTGGCCCTGAAGGTGGACGCTTCCCTCCGGCCCTGGTCCCCCGATCTGGGCCCGGCGCTCCAGGGGCTCAAGGTTCCTTTCTTTTAGGGAGGTGCCTCCTTGGCTGCGCCCTGACCCTCCGGCCCAGGGCTCTGGATTTCAGTCTCCTGGCCCGACACCGGCCTCTGGAACAGCTCATCTCCTTTCCCCAAATCCAGACCCTTTGGTGGTTCTATTCGTGCCACCTTCCTCCCATTTCCAAACCCTGTCTCCTGCGGGGGACTTGAAGTTCCCATTGCCCTGGAAGAATTCTTGAAAACCAAGTGAACAACCAGATTAGGGCTAGGCGGTGATGGTGAGTGTGTGTCACCGAGACCCAGGGGTTCTCCATGTGAGGGGCTATTCAAGAGGACTTCATTTTATCGCATCCTGAACTTGGGCTTTTAGTTGTGATGTTATGGGGCCCAGTCCCTGACTTCTTACTTATGTCATCAAGAATGGCTTTTCTCTCTGTTTTAGTTCACGCCTTTAGCCCCCAAAGCCAGCTTTTTAAAAGTAATCATGTTTGGGTCACACACTCTTTCTTCATGGGGTAGGGTGGATCAGAGGGTAAAACATGTCCCTTTCTAGTTCCTTGATGCTGTTGACAGCATAGTTTTGTGATATCCAGAGCTAACGTACGTCTTCAAAGCTGATTTACCTATTGATGATGACCAGGTACAGGGACTTTAGAGTGGTAGCTGCAGCCCTGAAAAGCCTCAGGAGCAAATCAGGGAACTGGTAAACACAACTTCAAACACAGCAGGCAGCTGTGTGAGGCCTTGAAGAGACAGCAATGGATAAGTTTGTCTGCTGCGCTGGCCCTTTCGAATACCCTCCTGAGATTTAGAGAGACCCGCTAGAAAAAGTGGCAGCTTTAACCACCAATATAGACAGTTTCCCCCCCACAAGACATTATACTGGAAGACTTGGCTATTTGTGTAGCACAAGCATGTCAAACTGAAAGGCTAACATGGACCAAATAAATGAGGCATGAGGCCCACGGGCCGCGAGTTTGACATGCTTGGTGTAGCAGACTCCTAGGTCAGAGAGTATTGATTTCAGAAAGGAAGTTGACAGACCAGGTGTGAAGATAAAGTAATGAATCAGATTTTTTGGTGTGGATTTCAGAAAGAAGCTTAGTCACTTTCAAGTCATACCACAGAGGTGATCTGGCCTCTTTTTGGAGATATTGGCTATTAGTTTTCAGATGGGTACTCAGTTCTACCCCACAAAAACTGGATCTTTCTGTCCGAAGTTCACTCTGTTACTCTGTAGGGCCG